AACACAGTTCTGGCACCTCTAGCACTGAATGTATGTACTGGTAAGGGGTACTGGGCTGTGTTGTGGGGTCTATTGTTGCTAGCTACTGGGTGATCTATTGTCTCTGGGGGGGGGGGGATTCTCTTGTTGAGGAAGGGACTATTGTTGCTGAAGGGTCAATTGTTGGTGGGAGGGATCTACTGTTGAAGGAGCGGTCTGTTTTTGGCAGCTGCTGGAGGATCTATTTATGCTGGCTGCTGGGAGATTTATTGTCGCTAGCAGGGGTCTATTGTTGCTGGAGTGGATCTATTATTGCTGGGAGGTATCTTTTGCAGGGGTCTATTGTATCTGGGGGGATATATTGTTGCTGAGGTTGATATTATTGCTGGCAGCAGAGGGTTTATTTTACTGCTTTTTTGTTATTAACAAATTCCATACAAATTACTTAGCACCACAAAATGATACCTGGTTCTGTTTTCTCTAAAATGGGCATTACTGGTAGGCAGTGAAACCAAAAATGTTGCTCAGAGGTGGGTAGGAGGCAGAGACATGGGGTTGCTCAGAAGGGGGAAATAGCTGCACCTATTCTCTGTATACAAGTCCTGTATACAACTATTCAAACTTGTATTGTGATACTGAAGTTGGTCCCTCACAGTACATTGCAAAAGACTATTATAAAGTAAATTCCAAGAAAGGTGTCTTAACTGTGATTTACCAGTAAATTCCAGCAGAGTTAAAAGGGTTGTTGTAGAGTGTATGGCGGGTTTTCTCCTTTAGAAAATGAACTACAAAAGAATTCTTCAAGCCTAGCATTAGAATGCCTGACACATCTTTAGATTTGCAGATCCTCCATGGTCTGTTTAAAGTAGTTTTGATACATATCTGGAAGACAATCATTTGACACATTTGTTGTTCACAAAGAGATGAAGCTGGGTTAATGAGCATTCAACTCATAAAAGCTTTTCCGACTATGGTAATTCAATGTACAATATTTAAAATAGAGCAAAAAGAAACTGATCAAACACAAATCTAGGTTCTTACCAATAATAAAGGATGTTTTCTGTGACTTTTCTGTTTGATAAAGAAACAAACACTTGTGAGCTTACTCTTTAACCATTTGAGTACCAGCCTATAATATCTCTTCATTAACAGGCCAGTTTTCAGTTTTCAGTGTTCCAGTAGTATGACTGACAATTGTTCATGCAGTCATGCAACACTGTACCCAAATTAATTTTTCTAAACAGAAAAAGGACAAAAAATTTGTTTTCCTTACTTTCCATCATAAATTACATCAAATTAAAATACCAGGACAGTACAAAAAAACCCAAACAGACCACTTTTTGGAAAATAGACACCCAAAGTTATCTAAATTTTTGCCACAATTTTTGGAAAAGAACAAACATGCTGATCTTCGGTGGTTAAAATTTAAAGCTCAGGAATGGTGCGCTAGATTACACAGAGGAAGGAGGAGGTGAAGGGGTTAATGTGCAGGTCACATACAGTGGCAGGATGGAGATGAAGAGGTTAATGTGCAGGATAAGGGAAGCGTATGTACTCTCCAGCGCCTCAAGATATGCACAGCCAAAGGGAAGCCAAGGATACCAGGACAGCGACAACCAAAAGGAAATGTTCCAGGGGTGCAGCCCTCCTCAGACGGGGAAATCAGCCACTGGATAGAGAGAAAAAACAGGTGGCGCACACACCTAGTGCATTATCCAAGGTTTATTGTAGGAATTAAATCATAAAAACATACTCACAGACGAAGCATGTATCTAAAAAGCATAGAAAAATGACAATGGCCACAACGGCAGGCAAGGTGTTCTCACTGTCAGTGTGGTCACTGACCGCACTGACAGTGAGAACACCTTGCCTGCCGTTGTGGCCATTGTCATTTTTCTATGCAGGATAAGGGAAGTGAAGGGGTTCATATACACTTCACACGGAGAGACAGAATGGAGATCAGATGTGCAAGAGAGAAAAGGGCGAAACTCTTGAAAAAAATCTCATAGTCAGTGAAAGCAATGATTGGATTAGCTGCTTTTGCCAATTCATCCATTCACTAATTCCCTATTAATAAATCACTCTCCTTCCTCCTCTATATAAGGAAGGGCAGGGATCAACAATGTAACCAGTAGTAGGTTTACAGTTATGATCACTATGATTGACTATCACTCAGTACACTGGGCCTGTGAACTGAGCTGTCTAATGACAGTTCAGTTCACAGCCATTTACAGATGCAACTGTCGCCTATTTGTGTGATTTCCCCAGCTGTGTTTATGTATCGCCCGCCTCTAGTTATGCTGCTAGGCTAAATTTAGTTTTTGGCTTCACTGTAATCCATGGAGCAGTGATCTACTGCTTTTGTCTGGTCCGGGTATCCCAAGCTGGGTGTTTGATTCCTCCTACATGCTTCTGGAGAAGCTTCCAGAATATACAGTAGGGCAGGGAAACTAAAATGACCAGTATAAATATTTATAATGCCCCAGCCAATCCCTGGAAGGAGGCATCCAGAGGATGGCTGGAGAGGTAATAAATGTTTGTAAAGCTTTTCCTTATGGTTCCTTCCTCTCCAGGGAGGGTACTAGTTCCCCAGGGGCTGCTAGTGAAATAAAAAAAATTGCAGTCTGGGCCTCAGCAGGTGCGGGGCTGAGGGCCTGGATAAGATTGCTAAAGGATTGCTGGAGAGCATCTTCTTGTAGTCTTGGTTTGGGGAAGGATTTTCTGTGTCCCTCACTGAGGAACTACCTGTGGATGCTGATGGCAGATAGCTGCTGGAATATTGTGAGTACAGACCTTGCTGTGGACTCTTGGAGCGAGCAAATGCTAGAAGGGAACTAAATGCCAGACAATGCTTTATGGTCTGGGACTTCTCTTCTTGAGTCCAAGATATACTAGCTATCCCCATTACCTCCAGAAAAGGCTGCTTAGAGAAGATTAGTGAGAAGCTGTCCTCATGTTATTTCTACTATCATTTGGAGTATCCTGATCCCTGAACCCCACTCCTGTTCAAGTTTTTCAGAAATAAATTCTAAAAAGACATCCTATAGACTGAACCTATATTGTCAGTGTGCATTGAACTGTGTATGTGACATGTGGCCTCTGTACTAGCAAGGTAGATCTGGATCATACTCAGAGGCCCCTCCGGGGGTGAGTGCTACAATTCATAAATCATAAGTCAGTAGTTTAATGGTTAAGCCCAAATTAAAAGCGTGGTTTTATTAAAAGGGAACTATTATTCAGGAATTTTGTATAGCACTGGAATAGAAAAGTTTTTCCAAAAATATTGTCCTGTACACTCAACAAGAAGTAAAGGGATACCTTTCCAATGTGAGGGAAATCCCCTTTTAGCTGTCACAAGAGTGTTTCCTGTTCTGGTAGAAATGTAAAATTTTCTATTTGCCCTTAACTTCATTTGCAGTGACATTGGTGATTAAGACAGATAGGGAAAGTGAATGTCAAGGATATGGGGACACGACAGCAATAAAAACCTGATAGTGGTTGTATGCCCTCATCACTCTACCCAAATGTCTTTAGTTGTACTTTAAGTATGGTAAGTGGTAATGTCTCTAAATATGATTAATATATATGGTATAAGATCCATATCTGCTTTTTAAAGAAATACTAGAAACTATATCCTGTGTAGCACTACCCTCTTGAGGGCCACTGAGTTTCTGGGTCCCCCTAAGCTCCGCACAGCCAGGCAACACATATTTTCTGCACTTGCACCCACAGGCAATAAACAGTCTATGAGCTAGAAAATGGTACAAAATATAGTAAGCGCTCTCAGTAATTTTAGCAGCTGAACATTAAAGGAAAACGCATAAAAAGTCCCAAAATTCATATGTATACAAAATACAGCGCTGCATTTTGTATAGTCTATGAGCTAGGTTTTTGTTGTATCATTAGGGCTTAACAACTTAGATAGGGTCTAGGGGTATATGGGATTCCCAATGGAACTGAAACAACTTGGAGGACAAGGACTTAGGCACAAAAAGGACAAAAATCAGCACACAGTGTTTGCAAGGAGCACTTGGTCCCCTTAAATGAACCTCCTCAAACCCAAGATAAAAATATCATCCACCTGGCTGTCTTGAGAGTATACCAGGGCAAGGAATTCTGAAACACACTAATGTAGTCCCAGACTCCCAGGTAGAACTAGTTGGGTATTGCACCTGACTGCCCTCTTCCTTCTTTGGCCCAGGGGGTGTAAAAGTACTCACACTGCGTTGTTCCTGTGGCTTAAAAGGTTGAAGCTGCTTTCAGGCCTTATGTTGGGCTGGCTCCTTCCCTGTTGACAGGCTGTCTTTCCCTGGTAGACTGTGGGACAGTGGGGGTCTTTTTTTCCAGCTTCCAGTGTGTAGACAGACCCCCTTTTCTGGGGTCCCCTCCCAGGCTCCACACCAGCAGCACTTCCTCACTCCATCTTTGACCCAACTCCCCTGCTGACCAGGCTTTCTCATATTTAAGGGCTGACCTAGCCACCATGCCAAGCCTCTTGCCTAGGAATTGGCCTGATTCCCTGAGGTTTGCAGATCAGCCCCTCCTTACCCCTTCATACTGGCTTCTAGAAACTTCTCCAAGTTTCTAAAGCAGGGGGAGGTATCAGAGAACTGACCTGCAGAGCCCTTCAGCCTTAACCTGAAGTAACCTCGCTGACTCACTCCCAGGCTGACTCATACTAATGCTTCTAGCAAGCCTCTAACTGTACAAAAAAAAAAAAAACTTTCTACACCAGAGGGCGTTACACATGTATATCAAACTATCACGCATGAAACCAGCACCAGATAAATATCCACGATGGGATCACAGGGAATACAAACAATGGGGGGGGGGGGGGGGGGGGGGGGGGGGAGTGTAGCCCAATCAAAAAACCCATCCTTGATCCTTATACTAAGGATCCTCAGATACCCTAACTTCTAAATGCTTACCAGGGAAGATTAAAAACCATAGCAAGATTAAAAGCCAGCACAGCTCAGATGCATTCAGCCAAAAATTACAAGGTGCAGACCAGGGGTGGATTGACAACTCATGGGGCCCTGGGCAATAAGGGATCATGGGGCCCTTGTGTCCTCGCCCACACCCAAAAAAGCCTATGAAAAAGCCAATGAAAGGTACCAGGAGCATCTCATGGGGCCCCCTACTGACCCCGGGCCCTCGGGCTGTGCCCGAGTGCTCGAATGGTCAGTCCACCCCTGGTGCAGACATAGAGCATTAACTAGATGGAGAGAATGCACAGGAACCTCCAGCCCTTAGAAACTCCTGTCGTAAGAAATAGGGAGACTGCCAATGCTGATCTCCTCTCAAAATGCTCATTGCCTAGCATGGTTAGAGGTTTGTTAGTGGAGTCTTCTGCATGCATTTGTGTACAACAGTTTTGATTCTGAAGCCTGTAATGTTCTATAGCCTGCACAGCTTGTACCATACAGCTGAAAATTGAAAGGATTTTTTTTTATGTGTTGAACATGTAGGAAGGCGTAATCAAGTAGGATGCATGCATAATACAAGGTGGTCATATGTGATAGTGGCATAAAAAAATGATCAACTGATTTATTTACTGCAAGCAATGTGTCATGCTAAATTTTTAAAATTAATAACCTGTGTTTTCATGTTCTTTTTAATGGCACTGACACAGACATACAGCTACTTTAGCTCAAGAAGAAAGGGATCAGCATTTGTCAATCTTGTCTGCAGTCACACACCACTGAACATTTTTTCTCTTCCTGTCAAATAGACTCAAGTGGCAGGTTAATACATCAGCCAAGCCCGTGACATCACCAAGACAGAATTCTGCTCGATCCCTTCCTGTGTACGTGAATGGGAAAAATAATCAATGGGCACGACACATACTGTGCAGACACAAAAACATCCAATTTCCAGGGCAAACAGCATCTACAGAATATCATTCTACATCATATACTGTATATCCATTTCATATTATGGGATTTTTGCATGGACTTATAGAAACATGTAAAAGCAAAACAAATAGCTGCTCAGGCACATCTTTCAAATTCAAAGACATGCTGGTTGGTTTATTCCCTCGGTTGAGTGCACTCAAGATGACTGACTGACCTCCTAAGGGCTTTAAATCCCCAAGTTGAAAAGAATTAAAAACTAAATTAAATAAATTAACTGACTTCTTTAAAGGAGAAGTATAGCCAAAGCTTTTTTTTGGCTATACGTTTGCTATGGATGACAGGAGTACAGTTTGTTATGCACTCCTGTGGCCCGTTTTCAGCTGAAGCCCACCTTCAGCTGACATCACTGAGCCGGTCCAAGCTCTGAAAAGATCTGAAAAGATCCTGACCATGTGGTTGGAATCTATCCAGAAGCCTGGACTGGCAACTGGCTAAGCCTCTCAGCAATCTGCTGAGAGCCTGAGCCAGCCCCTCCACAGCCCAGTGATCCAGTGAGTTCAGGACTGACAGTCACAACTCTCTGCTCAGAGCAGAGGGGGAGAACTGAGCAATTGCGGCGTTTGATCGCTCAGATCCCACTGCAAAGCCAGCAGGGGACAGATGCAGCATCAGATCAAAGCTGTATCCAATATATATATAATTATTATTTTTTTAAAGCCCATACCTCTCTTTTAGGGCTCATTCACACCATACGTGCAGAAAAACTGATAGAAACTGATGTGCAGATTTCACTTGTAGAGACATGAGGTAACATTAGCTTTCATGCTCGTTTAACTGAATTTTACGTACATTGCAGGTTCCTGCACAGGAAAAATCTGCACATGATACTAGTGATGTGGTGTGAACAGGGCACATAGAGAGCAAATTGATTTCATTGTGTCCTTGTGGAATGTGAGCAGAAAAACTTACATCTCTTTGCACACTGGTGTGAACGAGTCCATTAGGCTCCATGGTGTGACATTAGCACTTTTTTAACCTCCCTGGCGGTATTCCCGAGTGTAGCTTGGGGTAAAGTTTCAGTACCAAAAGCGGTAACCCCGAGCTACACTCGGGAATACCTTGCAGCGTTGCTCAGGGATTCCCTCCAGCACTTACCTTGTCCTTCGCTCCCACAATGTATCCCCTGCAGCGTCCCTGGCCATCTCCTCCAGCCGATGTCGGCATCCGTCTTCCGGGTTCTGATCCCTGCAAGCGTACATACGGGACGTACGGGGGCCAGAATCGGAGGGAAATTTAAAAATTTTAAAAACTGACATTCACAAAATACACTAACATATAAAACATTACTGTTTCAAAGCATTTCACATACATTTTGTCCCCAGTGCTTTGTCCTGTGTCCTGCCTGCATTTTTACTGTTCTTTCAGCCTGGAAACTTAGAAAATTCCATGGCGTCCAAAAAGTGTCCCTTTAGGTCAAAAGCAGTTTTAGACCAGCTAGAGAACAGCGATAGTAAATTAGAACCACTTGCAGAATTGAGTGATAATGATTGGTGGGGAAATTAGTCAACAGACACTGAAAACGATTCTGCGACTGAGCTCAGTGATGTGCGAACTTGGCGCTATATTACACATTTCAGTGTTTTTGGTTTGATTCTATTATTGAATTTAATTTTTATATATTTTTTTTTTGATTATTTATTAAATTATAATTTATGATTTTGTGTTTCAACTTTTATTATACCCGGGATGTTTACTAGACTCTTGTTAGAACAGATTTCAGTGAGTTATTCCTAAAAATTACAGACCTACAATACAAAAATACATATTTCCATGCAAAAAAAGTACCGCTTTCAGCACAGAAATATGGACATAATCATACTGCTAGGGAGGTTAAGCTCAAAAAATGCTGTAAAAAAAAGCTGGTTGAAAACCACTGGTAATAGCATTTTAGTAGTGTTTTAGGAGTGTTTAGGAGCGTTTAGAAACAATTAGCTTTTTTTCTGCAGGAAAAATGTTCCAAAAATCTCTACAAAAAACTTTTTTTTCTGCTCCTAGAAGCTGAAGCTCAAAAAATGCTAATAGCCTAAAGTAGTGTACATGGACACATAGGATAACACTATTTAGCTTCTAGGAGCAGAAAAAAAATGCCAAGAACGTCTTCTAGGAGCTTAAAACGCTAGTGTGCATGGAGCCTTAAAGAGGATCTCCAGTTAAAGCAGAACTAAGCTCATCAATTTAACAGCTTCAAGAAACAGTTATATTCCCACATTGCATGCCAGGAATGCTAACTGTCACATTTGTGATACTGTCAACCAAACTGTCAAACCATCAAATGACTGGCATCATAACTGATCACATGTGCAGTATCATGGCAGTTGCAGATCAAACAGAGACTAATATGACAGCTTCTTTGGATGAAAAGGATAGTATGGTTCAGCGCTGCTTAAAAGTGTTATGTAAGGTCAACTATAAGGCAAGGGCAACCTCTATTTGAAAGCTATTTTGCCTCTAATCTCTGCTCTGTAATAGAGGTAAGAGTCAGTTTGCTCATGAGGAAAACGTACCAACTAAATGTTGAGCTGGTCATCAAAAACTCTACTACGTGACAACCAGTCAACGATGAGGACTGCTCTTGAGTGTCACGGAAGGAGGCAGAGGTAGCCGGCCAAGTGATCTGCCACCAGGTGAGTGGCTCTTCACTGTCAGAGCCAGGTAGGAGCATACCAGCACAAGCAGCTTCTCTGGAAGTCCCTGCTGCTGTGGGGACCCCCTCCGAGATTGCTACCAGAGTATTCCAGTTCTCATAGGGGGGCCCTGTGTCCTTGCATCTTTCCAGCTGTTTACCTGTGTTACCAAATCTGCCTGTAACTTCACTGAGTGGTATGCTCCGTAGTATAAAGAATATCCCAAGTAGCTGACATTTTGAACAGTTTTACTGAAGTAGTGGTTCTCTCTGTTGTTATAGAGTCTCTTACAGAGATCATGATTTGCAGCCACATGTTACCTTGATTCAGCAACAAAAGATATTGCTGTGAAAAGTCCATATTTGTGCTGCTTTCATAACCTGTTTTACATTGTTATACAATGCAGCTTTCTGAAACTGATTTTCATTATTTCGTCTAACTTTGCACCTCTTTAGTACACTGAAAGTTACAGTTCCGACTTTGAAATCGTGTAAAAAAGTACCAGTGGTCAATGCTTATTATTTTCATGTAATTGCATGGTCTTTTAACTTTGGTTTACTGTTTAAACTTAGGTGATCTGAAACCACACAATTATCTACACAGATCTCAGCTGTTCTCCTAGGAAAAACTTCTCCCCTCGTCTCCTTCTGAGAACAAATGTTCTCCATTTTATAAACAGGGGGACAGAGGAGAAGATTTTTCCCTGAGAACTGCAGAGAGCTGAAATGAGATACATTATCGATGCTTAATAAACGTACACCTAAGTGTATGTATAGGCAATGGAATTCTTAGATTGTAAGTATGAGGAAATTAGTAAGGACATCTTTTTCCCCATTTAGGAGCTTTGCTCTCATGCCACCCTAAATATAGGACTTCCAGTTGTATTATTTCTTGCTAGAATTACTCACCAGGACAAAAGAAAGAGGATGAATCTTTCCAGAGGGAACAAATACCATTAAAACTTGTCAGAGGTTCTAAACCTCTGCTTTATCAAAAACTGAAAAATAAAAGCTTTGCCTTTACATACACTTTAAATGTGCTCAGGCTGCTACTCTCCTAGAGAAAAGTGTTCTACCTCTGTTACCTTTTAACAGGGACCTTTACTTTTTACATTATTTATAAAGGATATAGATATTTCAGTCTTTGCAGATGACACCAAGCTATGCAGTGGAATAACGTCCTTACAGGATGTCTTCAATTTACAAGCCAATCTCAAAGCACTATATGATTGGGCAACTATGTGGCAAATGAGGTTTAATGTTGATAAATGTAAACTTATGCACTTGTATGCTAAAAACACGCATGCATCATACATACTAGGAATAGAACAGCTCGGGGAGTCAATGGTGGAGAAGGATCTGGGTGTTCCGGTAGGTTATAAGATTAATAATAGCATGGAATGCCAAGCTGCGGTTTCCAAAGCGAGCAAAATATTTTATTGTATTCTCTCTAGAGAGAAAGAGGCATAAGCTTACCCTGTACAAAGCATTAGTAACACCTCATCTGGAATTCAGTTAAAAAAAAA